TTCTGCTCGCACGAAATAAATCAACGATCCAAAGGTGTTCCATCGTTCTGCGGTTCGTTTGCCACGATATATGTATATACATACGAAGAGGAAACCGGTCTCTAAGTTCTGAGTGGCGAAGTCGACTAGCGAAAATAGGTATATATATAACGTTTCTTTATTTTAATCGCTCCATCATGTTTGCTCTTTGCTCGTTGATGAGCATTAGTAAAAGAATGAAGACTTTTGGATATTTGAGGATTCGAAAGAGATGGTGATTAAAGATGGAACTTGTGCGATGTTTACTTGTACGTTGATTTTTGGACTATTCGAATTTTAAAAATTTTGGTAATTTTTTTTTTTGATTTATTAATGAGATTAATAAATAAGCTGTTGCATTGAATTGATATATATATATATATAATTTATTTGAGGTTAAATATTCTTTTATGAAAATTATAGATTTATAATATTTGGGTTGGGATAAAAAGTTTTCAATTTCGTTTTATTATTGGATAAAAGAGTGTATTGATACAAGCACTGTTGATTACATACTGAATTGAAACGCTGAAACATCCAATCCAGTGTTACCACACGCAGTTGGTTAGTGTATCATCAACAGCAATGCACAATGTATCATAACCACTCGTATCCTACTGTATTACAATAAATCGTCCCAATTCCGCTGTTAAAACAGATACTTGTAAACGTTACAACAGAGAAACAAACTCGAAATCGAAATTAAAACTTTCACAAACAGATCTCCTCCCCCCCCAGAAGAATTAAATTTTATATCTATTTATTTATTATAAAAATAAAATGAAAAAGTAATTCCAATAATGTTAAATCTAATATTTTGAGATAAAGATTTTTAAAAATATAAACTAATAATAAGAAAAATTTCACGTATCCATTTTGCATACTTCTTCTGTACGTTCAAATTTTTAAATCTCGTATCACAAATGATATAAAAATAAAAATATCCGCTGTAAATCTTGCGGAAAAGAAAAGGGGGAAAAAAGAGGCACGAATGAAGCAATTTACACCTCATAAACCTCGAAACATTCCTCGCATTTGAAATTTCCTCTACGAATTGTGAACATCGTAACTCGTCAAACGTTCTGACTCGTCGGCGAAGAGTCAGATTTTATATTTTCCACGGTCAATCGTGAAAGTGTCTTCGACCGAAAATTGAAAATCCGTTTGCGTTTGATACAAAATAGCGTGGGAGGAGCACAGTATGAAAACGGCACCCGCCTGAAGGCTCTCGTTCCTCGTTCGAAATTTGAAATTCAGATCGGTTTATTGTGCCCAGGGTGCATTCTGCGGGTTACAATTATAAAAATATTTGCTCGTAAATCTACGTTATAATGGGGAGCCAAACAGAATTTCCGTTTTATTACGCCACCTCCGTAAAATATCGCCATCCCAAATTTAAATATCCCAATTTCCCCCCCCCC